AAAATACATTTTGGCCTAAATTTATAACCAACTTTGAGTTTACTATATATTTTTTATAGCTGAAAGTAAAAAATATTGTTTTTCTTCAAAATTTTTGGCCTTTTTTTGTTTATAGCGTGAAAAATAAAAAGCGCACAGGTGATCAAATTACACCAAAAGAAAGCCCTATTTGTGTGAAAAAAAGGACCTAAATTTTGTTTGGGTGCAGCATTGCATGACAGCGCAATTATTAGTTGAATTAGTGCAGCGCCGAGTAGCAAAAAGAGGCCTGGTCATTAAGGGGGGTAAATCCTCAGGAGCTCAAGTGGTTAATAAAATGGAAACCTCATTTCAGCAGATGGTGACTCATGGGACAAATTCCTGAAAAGATTGTTTTATTGGCATGAAACGGTTCCTTTTGTTCCTCTTTCCAGGTTTTGGGGGAAGTTCATATTTATGCCTTGATCATATTGCAATTGGTATGACAGAATGCAAACTCTTGCTTTCTGCCCATTGGAACATATTTTTGAGGTGTTCCACACTGGATGCTAAACATTGATATATCAATCTATGTATCTGCCAGTGTATTCTTCCTTGTGTGAACCATGTTCTCTGGTCTTCTCTTTACATGATATGTACCTCCCTTATTTGTAAATACAGAATTTAACCTGTGGGCACCGACCAAACTCAAATATGCGGTCTCTCCACCGCTGACCCTTGACTCTGAGAGGCCGCATATTTTCGTACTAATAAAGAAAACACGTGTCGAGAGCAAGTGTCCTGCACGCTCCTGGCACATTTACAGGCATCCCATGGAAAGGTCATGATCGCATAATTTTTCCAATCATGTGACCGCTGTGACAGCCAATCACTCCGGTAACCCTAAACCCCGCCCTGCCTCCCAGCATCACAAACCCCTTAAAGGGCCGGTACCAAGGAGTTAAAAAATGTACTAAAAGATAAACACACAAGCAAAATAATTTATTAAAATAAAGGGATACTAATTTTTGAGAGATTACTGAAGCATTCTTTTGCTCTAGAGACTGGATCAAAGCAATTGTTTATTTTCGGACCTTAGCTATATACTATTTTAGTTCCTACAATGGGATGTATAGGGGTGGTTGGAAACTTGTAGATTTCAGTTTGGCCAAAGGTTTAAACCCACATAACAACACAGGGTTATGGGCTAAAAATCTGTGATGATTAATGATTTTGTCACTCATTTATTTTTAATTAAATCAAAGGGACTCAAATTAGTAAATGATCTCTCATATTCCAAACTGTAACCAAACTGGGACATTGATCTGGTCAATTAAGTAGCAGAGGGGGTTGTTAATTTCAGCTGCTTGGGTGTTAACAACAGGTACACTAGATGGGCAACAATGAGACAATCCCCAAAACAGGAATGGTTTTCCAGGTGGAGGCCACTGACATTTTTTTCTCTACTCATTTTTTCTGACTGTTTTTCACTAGTTTTGCATTTCGCTAGGGTCAGTGTCACTACTGGTAGCATGAGGCGATGCCTGGACCCTATAGAGGTTGCAAAGGCAGTCCAACTCCTTCAGGATGGCACATCAATACATGCCATTGCCAGAAGGTTTGCTGTGTCAACCGTCACAGTCTCAAGAGCATGGAGGAGATTCCAGGAGACAGGCAGTTACTCTAGGAGAGCTGGACAGGGCCGTAGAAGGTCCTTAACCCATCAGCAGGACCGGTACCTGCTCCTTTGTGCAAGGAGGAACAGGATGAGCACTGCCAGAGCCCTACAAAATGACCTCCAGCAGGCCACTGGTGTGAATGTATCTGACCAAATAATCAGAAACAGACTTTATGAGGGTGGCCTGAGGGATCGACATCCTCTAGTGGGCCCTGTTCTCTCTGCCTGGCACCATAGAGCTCGTTTGGCATTTGCCATTGAACACCAGAATTAGCATGTCCACCACTGGGCTCTGTGCTTTTCACAGATGAGAGCAGGTTCACCCTGAGCACATGTGACAGACGTGAAAGGGTCTGGAGAAGCAGTTGAGATCATTACGCTGCCTGTAACATCGTTCAGCATGACTGTTTTGGTGGTGGGTCAGTTATGGTCTGGGGAGGCATATCCATGGAAGGATGCACAGACCTCTACAGGCTAGACAATGGCACCCTGACTGCCATTAGGTATTGGGATGAAATCCTTGGACCCATTGTCAGACCCTATGCTGGTGCAGTGGGTCCTGGGTTCCTCCTGGTGCATGACAATGCCTGGCCTCATGTGGCGAGAGTATGCAGGCAGTTCCTCAAGGATGAAAAAATGTATACCATTGAATGACCCCCACACTCACCTGACCTAAATCCAACAGAACACCTCTGGGATATCATGTTTCGGTCCGTCGGATGCCATCAGGTTGCACCTCAGACTGTCTAGGAGCTCAGTGATGCCCTGGTCCAGAATCTGGGAGGAAATACCCCAGGACACCAACTGTCCTCTCATTAGGAGCATGCCCTGACGTTGTCAGGCATGCATACAAGCACGTGGGGGCCATACAAACTACCATTTTGAGTTGCTGCAATGAAATTTCAACAAAATGGACTAGCCTGCTGCTTTATTTTTACACTTTGATTTTCAGGTATCTTTGAATTCAGTCCTCTGTAGATTGATAATTTTCATGTTCATCAAACGATGGGGCATCGTTACGTTCCTAACACATTACCCAGTCCATATCAGTATAGATATCCAGCATGATATTTTTCCCCATTGAGATCTGATGTGTTTTCAAAGTGTTCCTTTAATTTTTTGAGCAGTGTATATTTCTAGAACTTGAATCTGGGATTGTGATAAATAATTATATATCAAGAGACAGGTTGAAAAGCAAGATCTTTTGGCCAGGTGTAATATCTGCTAAGCATGTCACCTGCTCCGATCTTTTTGAAGCTCTTACATCAATACTTTGAGTCACTTACTGTATCTGGAACAAATATACAGATAAGCACTTCTGAGTTTATTTTAACTTTTCTTGATCTGCATCCTTGTAGGTTGGTCACTTGGGAAGTACCAAAGTCACAAGGTCTGTATTGCAGTCATCTAGTATTATCACAAGATCATGATATAGAAAAAATCTCCACCTGGATGTATATCCTTTCAAAAGTTTTTTTTTTTTGGCATACATTGGATTCTGTGCCTTTTTAATCAATAAACTTTTATTATTCGTATTTATATAGTGCCAACAATTTATGCGGCACTTAATTTAAGGTTCCTAACTCATATTCATACATGCACATACTAGGACCAATGTACCTTAGGTTCACATTACTGTGGGCCATTTGATTCATTTGAGTGGGCTGCTTTGCTTGCATATGCCGCAGAAAAAAAGGTGTTTGCACCATTTTAAAAACACGACCACATGGAAATAGTTCCCGCAAATGTGCTGTGATGCCTGGGAGTGCCATTCAGAATGAATGATAGCCCAAGCGTTTTGTAAAAACAGTGCAATTTGGCTTTGGGTGGGGGAACAGGTGCAATTCCTGCACCCACAACCAGCCCACAGACTGAAGCCAAGCGTGAATGTAGCCTTAAGCAGAAGCCAATTTGCCCACAAAATAGTCTTCCAAAAAACACAGTGCTGAATGAAGCCAAAAGTGTGAAACTAACAAATAAATAAAGTAACAGAGGCAGCTATTTGCCAAATCTCAAATCCTTTTACAAAGCATACGCCAGATATAACTGTGCTTCACAAATGTGAACATATATTAAAAACTTTACTGATAATATGAAATAGCAAATGCAATATAATGTGAAAACAATAACGTTCTCAACGATAATTCTGTTCAATATTAACTGATATTTAATGAATCAACTTGTTTATTTCAGGTACTTATATAGCGCCGTCAATTTACGCCACGCTTTTCATATATATTATACATTCACATCAGTCCCTAACCCTCAAGGGGTGTACAATCTAAAGTCCCTAACTTACATTCATATATACACATACTATTGTATATTTATTTTAGGTACTTATATAGCGCCGTCAATTTACGCAGCGCTTTACATATATATTATACATTCACATCAGTCCCTAACCCTCAAGGGGTGTACAATCTAAGGTACCTAACTTACATTCATACATACAAACACATACTAGGACCAATTTAGACAGGATCCAATTCACCTACCAGCATGTCTTTGGATTGTGGGAGGAAATCGGAGTACCCGGAGGAAACCCACGCAGGCACAGGGAGAATATGCAAACTCCAGGCAGGTGGTGCCATGGTTGGGATTTGAACCAACTACCCTAGTACTGCCAGGCGGAAGTGCTAACCATTTAGCCACTGTGCTGCCCCAATTTGTTTAATTTTAATTATTTATAGTTTATATTTCAAATTGTGAATCTCTGTTGTCACCAGTGCATATATTACAATTTCCCATGGGCGATGTTTCCTCTTTACCACTTGAGCTTTGGAAAGATTGTACCCCCTTCATCACCAGAGCATTTTTTGCTATTCAGCAGTGTGCTACTTTTAACTGGCAACTGCTTGGTCATGCAATACTGTTCCCAAATGAAATGTATATCCTTTTTTTTACACAAATAGAGCTTTCTTTTGCTGCTATTTGATCACCACTGGAGTGTTTTTTTTTTGTTGCGATATAAATGGAAATGAACAGAATTTGTTTTTCAATATTATATTTCTACTTTGTTATAAAACATCCAATAAAAAACTAAATTTCTAATTTCTTCATACATTTAGGCCAAAATGTATTCTGCTACATATATTTAGGAAAAAAAAAAAAGGAAAAGGAAGTGTATGTTAACTGGAATTTACTCAGCTATAGGTGCTATACTGTGCATGCTTTCTCCCAAGCCGCATGTATGTGTCTATGGGACACAGAGCGTGGCTCAGTCCTGCCCCCCCACTCCCTCCTCATTGGATGTGATTTACAGGATTGGTTCCCACTGCTGTGTTTCAGCCAATGAGGAGAGTGAGTCCAGGGAGAGACGCTGCTCTTGTGCACATCACTGGATCGAGACTGGGCTGCGGAGGGAGCTGCACACTAAAGGTTTTTCACCTTCATGCATAGAATCCATGATGGTAAACAACCTTCAGCCTTTTGAGCTACTTTAAATATGTGCCTACAAACGTGTAATTTGTTCTGCTTTTACTTTTCTATCTGGCTGCTTTGCAGAGAAAAGAAACACCTTGATTTCTGGTCAGTGTTCAGAGCCCTATGCATTTGTAAACACAGAGCCCTGTGTTGTGATTGAACACAGTCAATCAGCAGGTCTCAGCCATGAATCATTGGCTGGGACCTTCTGACAAAATCATGCTGTGTCCAACCACAGTGTGGCCAGCAGCCTGCAAATCCAGAGGTCCCCTGCCAATTTACAGGTATGTGATCCGACGCAGCTGTGCCACTCGCTCACAGTTTAACTATTGTGGATGGCCAGCAAATGGTTAAATGCTGCACCCAGGTGATATGTGCTCTTTGAATGCTGCACCCAGTTCTCCACCTTCAGGAAAGCAACTCACTCCAAAAATTGGACCTTTTGTTACAGAAGGTGAAAAGCACCTTTGGAAAATCCACAGGATTGGGTTATGAGACTCTTAAGTCTGGTCACAAGTGCACTCTCCATCATCATTCACTAAAACATAAGTAAAAAAAACACAACAAGGCTCAGCTCATAATGTAATTCCATTTATTAAAAAAACTTTAATAAATCCAACAATTTACATACTCACATTATCAATGTGCACAAAACACTATGCATACTAGCATAGGGGTCAAATAGTTGAAGACAAACAACGATCCTTCAACCTTTATCCAATACATACGCCACTCACCGCAGACCAACTAACGACAGATCAGTTCTGTAACCTGTTATAGAAGTGTCCTATGCATTTGGTCATTAGATTTCATCAGGGGAAATGTATTGAAGTTTTTTTTAAATAAAAAAAAATCATGCTGTGGGCACACTATTCTTATGTTTTTGTGAATGATATTTGGGGGTGCATTAGTAACCGGGATACTGAGAGACTCATAACGTGGTCTCGTGGATTATATTATAAAGCACTTGTGACCTTCTGTAACAAAAGATCTAATGAAGAGCGTAGCCCTGGGTGTTTACAACAAGGCTGGCCATACTTTATACAATTTTCTTACTCAAATCTCTTTAGATTTACCATGAAGTGCATCAGCCTGCTTGACTGCATACAAATTGAAAGTGTTTAGGTTTGACATCATATTATATGGTTTTGGTAAATCTAAAGGAAAATTGTATAATGTACGGCCAGCCTTAATCTCTGTAGGATATGTTGCAGTTGAAAACTGTACCACAGCATTTTCTGTAGCCTCACACTAAAAAAGTGTTTGCCCCTTTGCAAATGCCAGTATTGTGCACTCATCTCTTGTATATTGCTAGGTGCACTGATATTTCAGGAGACCCAAATCACCTTTTTGAGGTTGTACAACTGGGAAGTCTTTCACACATGCAGGATGTAGTGCCTGAGATTTGATCCATCTATGGGCAGGCTGGTTGTACTGAAGTCATTCCATCAACTGACTTCAGTACAACCAGCCTGTCTGATTTTTTTCTTGCGATCATTGTAGTCAGTTATAGCCATCAGAAGTAATCATTGTGTTCTGTCGGTGTGGAAGGCTCCCCTCCAGCAGAACACAATAGCGACGCATTGTAGGACAGATTCCCCCATCAACACTGACTGTGTTGATGGGGGAACCAAGCTATTTTAAAAATAGCATAATCTTTGAGCTGCTTTAGAATGTGCTCTGTGTGTACTGCACATGTTCTACTTGTAGGTACTCTGTCTGGTCTGCATGCACTCAGTGTGTGCTCTGTGTGTGTTGTACATGAGTGTGTAGGATCTGTATATTTGTATAAGGCCCCATGTACACGGGACACTTATGAACGATGGAAACTGACTGCTGGAAAACGTAGGTTAAAAAATGTCTGTTTAGCCGTGTTTGCATAATGAGTTTATGCGTGTTTATGCACATTTGCGTTTAGGAGCGTTTTTTTAAGATAAGCACAGGAGACCTTCCAAATGCTCAGAATGCACTGAAAAGTGGTAAATTGTTAACTATGTCAGACTGTTTCAGGGAAATACAGAGAGTAGAAGCAGAGACAGCAGTATGTGTTGAGATAATTAGGTGTGAGTTGCTCATTAACATTTCTTTTGTTTCCAAGGGTGGAAAGGTGTCTGGTGGAGGGAGTCATTAAGGCCACCTGGCAGGGGGTCTTATGAGGAATTTGAGGTTTGAATGGACATTAACATATCTTTTGTTTCCAAGGGTGGGAGAGGTCTGATGTGTGAATTGGTCATTACAATGTGTGACAAGCTTGGCAGGAACATCCTGCGTTCAGTGTTTTGTCCATCTGAGTACCTTGAAAACACTTTGCATGCATTTTTCATGATGAAAAAAGGCTCTGGACAGCATTGGGAAATGGAAGAGTTAAAAAAAGTTCAGACGCAAATGCTTATAAACGCGATTTGCATTTGAAAATGCTGATAAAATCGACTGCTGAATGCAAGTTTTCTGTGTTAAAAAAAGACTGTAAACTCAAATGCCTGTAAACGACTGTAAACGAAGATGTGTACATGGACATATAGGAAAACATTAAGGTGAGTTCAGGGGCTGCTGAAAAAAACGCTGAACAGCTCCTAAACGTGAGTTTATCAGCTGCAGTGTACATGAGCCCTAATGCCTTCATGTTCATTCACTGTGTGTGCTCTGCCTTAGCTGTGGTGATGCATGATCTGCTTGTATGTATCTTGACTTCATGTTCTGCCGCTGTGTACACTCTGTATGTTCTATGTGCTGAGCATGGTCTGTGTGTTGTGCCTGCATATGCTTTGTCTCTGTATTTTATCTGCTGTGGGTACTCTGTAGTTAATTGTCTTTTCATACTCTGTGTATGATCTGAGTGTAGGCAGGGGTTAATTCACTGCCCCATTAAGAACAGGAATTCTTCCTAAAATCCTCCCAGGAAGTGAGGTGAGTTCACCTCATTCCTGGCAGGATCCTTTAGGGTGCAGCCTAGTTAGAGTTCAGAGGCTGATATGGATAGAGGAGCCTGGTTGGAGAACTGAACAAAGCACTTAAAGCTATTCTTCTCACCCCATGGATAGGCACTCCTGCTACCGGGTTTTCAGAGGTACACTGCCGTGTAAAGAGGAACTGTCTTATTTCTGAGAAAGGAAGAAAATTAATTTACTATGTACTGTTGCAGTTGACTACATCACTACAATAAAATGGAGCCTCTAGCTGTGTTGAAGTGAGTGAAGTGGATGCCATGTTGCCATTGGAGATGTGAGTTGGGGTGGCATACCATTAGACAGCAGTGCTAGACAGATGCACCTAATGGAGAAAACACACAGTGGGATATAGAGTGCCAGAGAAGCAACGCTAATAAAAACCTGGTTGGGTTTGTGCAGATAGTGGACAGGGGAAGGGGGTCTCCTTCTTGTCGTTGATGAGCTGAACCTCTCCATGCAGCATGTGGCAAGTGACCTGGGCCCCCAAGTCACATGGGCCCTAGGTGTTTGGCAGACTGTCTGAGCCCTATCTTGCAACCACAGAGAAGACATTGGGACGAACACAAAGTGTCCCCAGCCAATGGAGGGTTGTTGCTATTTGTTACCAGGAGTATTGTGAATGATGTGTCTAGGACCCACAATATATGCACATATGTTGCAAAGAGTTGAAGGAGTTCTGCATGGTTTGTGGACTGTGATAGACTGAGGTTTTTATTTGTGTAGGCCTTAGTCAGCCCTGTGTAGAACCAGGCCTCCTAATGGGCAGCACAGTGGCTAAATGGTTAGCACTTCTGCCTGGCAGTACTAGGGTCGTTGATTTGAATCCAAACCACAGCACTACCTGCCTGGAGTTTGCATGTTCTCCCTGTGCTTGCGTGGGTTTCCTCCAGGTTCTCTGGTTTCTTCTCACACTCCAAAGACATGCTGGTGGGTTAATTGGCTCCTCTCTAAATTGACCCTAGTATGTGTATGTATGAATGTAAGTTAGGGACCTTAGCTTGTAAGCTCCTTGAGGGTTAGGGACTGATGTGAATGTACCATAGCGTAGTGTGCCTGTGTTAGGGTTGCCACTTCATCCCTTTAAACCTGAAGACATATTAATGTTCTGAGGCTAATTTATTACAGATAAGGCACTAAGTGAGTTTAATTACCACCTTAATCAGACACAGAACCTGTGTAATTAATAAGTGTTCGGTTTTTAAAGGGATTACGTGGCAGCCCTAGCCTGTGTAATCTGTGTGCTTATGCTCCTACTATGTGCATTCTGTCTATGAGTGCTGTGTTACCTAATTGTCCTTACTCTATGTGCTATGTCTGTGCTTGCACTTAGACTTTGCATTTTTTTCTGTGTGTAGCACCCTCTAGTGTGCTACTACAATAGCGTAGTGTACTGTAGGTAAAATCATTGTGTATGACTCATGGTAATTGTGTGGGTCTGTGATTGAGGTCAAGTTGTTACAGGTCAGCTGGATGACTCAACAGGTTGTGACTCTGCCACTGCCTCCTGTCTCTGGAGGACCATAGAACCTTCCACAAGTCGGTAAGCAAGAAGGGGTGGAGGCCTAATCTGCATATTCATGGAGGGGGGGGGGGGTCCGGCCAATCCCAGGTTTGACGCAAAGTCGCAAAAGTGAGTATCCGGGTAGGAGAGAGCATGGAGTGTACGTCATTGAAGCCATGGGCTGGCCACCTGCCCAGGATTGTCAAGGTCCAGGGGAAACAATGGGTTGTAGAAAAGGTGCATCAAGGGAAAGTGAGCAGAAATAAGACCAGCAGAATATTTAATGGAGTCCCAAAGTCGAAGCGTATGTGTTAATGTCGGACTAAGAGGTGAAGGGCGATGAACAGGGGGGAGCCACGGCAAAGAAGAAAGTGGTGTCAGGTGGGAGTCCATCAGATCCACTGTGGCCCACAGGGGAATATTGTGAGACGCATGAAGATGGGCTATATTCACCGCTAAATATATGCATGAAGATTCAGGACAGACAATCCACCTTCGTTCCTACAGGCAAATAAAATTATTTTTTAATTCTAGGGCG